CTTTTACGTCACCAAATGCAGGAGCTCAGGCCTTCCTTATGGATGGTTAAAGAAGATGGGCCACGACCCTCCATGCTGGCCCAATGTGGATTAGAGGTTATTAATTACTGCTAATACAACCAGGACCAATCGCTTTACGTGCTTTCCGAATCTTAGAGTTGCTTGAGACAATATTTTTTTGGTCATCCATCCTGTGCTTAACAACTACAATCGCGGGCCATAGCGCATATTCACTACGCCACCGAGCTACTCTGAACCGACCTTCAGACTCGCGTAATATTATATGAATGTTGTGACCAATTAATAAACCATTGTTTCCAACGAAGACTGAAAATACCAACTTTGAAATACGTATCAACAGCAATTTGTATGTTAAAAAAAAAAAAACAAACAAGAGTATTAACATAAAAAATAGTAATAAGAGAAAAAAAAGGAACTCGAGTTGTCTTTACGTTCTTAACTTCAGTTGACGTGAATCTAACTTTTTTAACATCGTGGGAAAACTTCTGACATTGTCTCTGTTACCTGGCAAGCAACAGAAGTGAGTAGGATTCTCCTCCGTGAACCCGACAGTGTGCTGCCCGGTGGGTCCCCAGAGGCCTACCCACCAAAACCCGTACTCTACACCCTCTCATGGGAGATGAAACCCGGCAAGTTATGGCCGAGTCACCAGGACACTCAAGTATTGGCCCATGGGTCCCCTTGCAGTAGACTTGAGTAGCTCGCGAGCGAGTGATATAAATGTTACATTTGTCTCAAGTGAGCGAATATATCATTTCGCTCGTCTATATTTGAAATATATCATTATGTCTTTGTAACACGATTCGTTTCAGACTAACTCCGAGTGAATGAAATAGTCCTTGCAAAACTTCTATTTCGCTCTGACGTTGTTTCGTATCACATAAAGATAATGTTTACTTTCTTACCGCACCTGTGCTCGAAAGAACTTCAGAGCGATCTAGGGATTTGGCACAGACTAAACGTTGAGTACATGCGGGTCATCGCCATCTTTCATTCATTTCATTTTCATTTTACATGTAAATATTAATTTATTTACTTGACATTCGCAGAATTGTACAACAATCCGATAAATAATAAAAAATAGAATGGTAAAAAGTTCATGAAATCTAAAGATATTATTTGACGAATATTTTTGTCAAATAATAATGAATTGTATTTTTAAATCAAGAAGTAAAATGAGTAGTTTTTCTAGATATGTAACCTGTGTTTCTAATCAAACGAAACACTAATCAGCACGTGACTTCTGTGTTAATAAGAATTAAAAAAAAAAGCGCAAGAAACAGTCAAAATTATAATGATGCATTGGAAGTTATATGAACAGATTCAATTCGAAGGATTATTTCTTATTTTATTACTGGTATATTAGAGTATAAAAGAAACAGCATGCAATAGTTCATTTATTGAAAATCCTTAAAGTTTTATCTATGGATGACGTAACGTCTTTTGACTGAGTTGCTGTTTACGCGCCATTTTTAAACAATTCAATTACAAACTTATCACCAGCCCTTTTACGTCCCCACTGCAGGGGCTCAGGCCTTCCTTATGGATGGTTAAGGAGGATGGGCCATGACCCTCCACGCTGGCCCAATGCGGATTGGAGGGTATTAACGACTGCAAATGCAGCCGGGACCAACGGCTTAACGTGCCTTCTGAAGCACGGAGTAGCTCGAGATAATAATTTTTTGGTCACCCATCTCGTGACCGACCCTTGCGAAAGTTGCTTAACGACAACGATCGCGGGCCACGGCGCTTATCCACTACGCCACCGAGCTACTTATTAATATAATATGTCTCAGTATTAATACTTATAAGTATATTAGACGACATCACATACATTGTTCAAATTCCAAGATGAGTAAAAAGCCAAAGCCTTCGTATTATGGAATATCTGAGACAACGAAGGTACCACGACCACTCAGACCCCAGATCATATAGAAAAGTGAATTTTCAACATTGACCCTGGGAATCGAACCCAGGGACTCACGATGGCGGCACCTTAAAACCGGCTTGTGAACCACTCGGCTACGGAGGTTGATTGACGTATATATGTAAATAATAGGTAAAATTAAGGTAAATAGATGTTAATAAATGTAGATAAAATTCGATTTATGCATAAAAAGTAAATATTATTGAATGTCATTATCTTATCAGCAGTAATTCACTCAGATTAAGTTTCAATGTTCATTAATGTAATTATGTATGTAAAAAATGATTAGGTAAATTAATGTAGAAAATGTAAATATTATAGTAAGAGTATACATAAATGTAAATAAAATTTGTAAATAGCATTTTTTTTAAATATGTCAACATAATGATTTCAAACCAAAGGAATTAAACTGCGAACGTTTTATTTTCACCCGCTTTGCTTTATCGTGTTCAATAGAATATTTATCTTTTATATCTCGCTCAGAGAAAGAGAACAGAATCTATTTTCTTTCGAACTGAGCGAGATATAAAAGATAGATATAGATCTTCGAGCTAAAAGATATATATCACTCTTTTCGCGTAAGTGATATACAATACATTGCGCAAGGCTACCTTGCAGGTCAAATTGTAGTGGCTTGGGTAAATCTAGTGCCTCTCCCAGACAGACGAAACCGTGCAATGCGGGGGCGGCTGCCAACCACCTCCGCTGGCCCCGACGACGACGTGAACTTAATCTGATAACAATATGCGTTCACTGGAAACTACTCGAAGCTTAATTGCATCATCGGAAGACTCTTTTCGCTTGTTCTCCTACTCGCGTGATCGTATGCCACACATCCATTATAAGCTGAACCACATTTAATATGATTGGCCATATATAAATGAGATCACTTACTTTGGAGTTTTTAAAATTTTGGTCTTATTTTTTTATTTGTCATCATACAAATTATCATTTTATAGACAATATTAATTCGTAGCTCGGTGGCACTACGGATATGTGCCGCTACGCACGATCGCTATTGCTAAGCAATTTTCGCAAGAGTTGTGCACGGGATGGGTGACCAAATTTATTAAACAAAGGCCTGAGGCCCTGCAGTTTGGCTATGAAAGAGTTAATGATGATGATCAATATATCAAAGACGAAAATGTAATAAAACAGTAAATATTTCATAACAATTTTGGCGACCACGTCACTTCAACTTGACATAACTTTTTTATTTGTGAACCGATTGAGAGATAAATCTTACACTAAATGTTAACGGAAGAATGCCGCAATATAATAGTGAAAACTGCATTTAAATCGGTTCAGCCATTTCTGAGATTATCGTGCACAAACGCACAGACAAACAGACAAAAAATTTAAAAATCATTGTTTTGTGTTCTATTACGCTTATTAAGGTTCCTCAGAACAGTTTTTTTTTCATATATCTTCAATGTACAGACATCGATCGGTTACGTTCTAATTATCGTATAGATAATTCTGTGATAATTAAATATGATATTGTCTTGCAAATTCAAGTACTCGATATCTATTTATTTGATAACTATACTTTAAATCTTGAGCTTGGTAGTTCTAATTGCAATGAGTTTCAATAACTCTATTTCTAATATCGAGCACGATTGAAACTTACAGTACGAACGTTAAAACCTTTAAGGTACTTAACCGTCCTTGATATTAATAATAGTTTTTCACCTTCAAATATTTCCTATTGATCGCGTACCATATTTCTCGGTCCATACTTTATAACGACCGAAATAGGTGCCACGGTTAAAAATCGTAGATTGATTTTATAAATTATAGAAAAACAAACATTTCATTGAGTTGAGGTGAACGTTACTCGTTACTGCGTAAACTATCAGCCAATGAAATCCCCTCAAAAGAGGTCTTTTCAGAGATTATCCGGAATAAACACACAGACAAAAAATGTATAAAACTATATTTTTGTACCGTGTACAACACGTGTATTAAGTGAAAAGCGGTTATTTTAATATGAAAAACAGTATTCCAATTTTATTTATTTGTATAGATATAGATGTATGGGTTAACATCAACAAAACATTAGGTTGGCAATTTTTTTTTAGCTTATGCCAATCTAATTATCAATAACTCACGTAACGTTTTGATTATTATTATTGAGAATATATAAAAAAATATATGTTAACAAATATCATAAGAAAATAAAATGCGTAATTTTATTGTTAATTTATACGAATGGCGTCGAAGTATTTTTGTTATTTGGCAGAACCAGTTATCTTATTAATCTCACTTCTTTATAATATTGTAAAGCCGACAATTTGTAAATTTGGTTGTTTTTTACTTCTTCACGCAGAAACTACTGAACGGATTTTATTGTATACGGCTAATTTTAAACCTAGATTAACATACGAGGGTGGTTTGAAAAGTTCTCGGCATGACATGATTTGAAAGAAGTAGGTATGTAAACTAATTTATTGTTATTCGACAGCTCGGTTCCTTATTTAATCGTATTTCAAGTGCCTCTGTACTGAGACGAGGGGAGACGGTCGGGCCGAGATCTTTTCAAACCACCCTCCTATAGCCTACTTTTTATCCCACAAAACAGTTCCTAGGGAAGACGCGGGCGAAACCGCTGGCCTCATACTAGATTTGTTAGAAAATCAAATCTACTAATTCAATTTTGATAAAACTTTTATGGGACTCCTCAGGCGTATAAACTTTCAAATAAAAAAATAGCAAAAATCAATTATCCATCCTCCTTTTTTAGATTTTGCAGTTGGATAAAAAAAAACTTGCTTACTACAGTTTATATTCCAATCGTTTTTAATACGAGGGCTGACTATATCGACTTTTATACATTTGTTTTTGATATTCAATTCAACACGCATGCATTTGTTATGGACAAAAGTTCCACAGTAGGTGAGCACTTGACCTAATTGAGCTTCAGACTTCAAATTCTAGAAGTTTCACTACACATTTTAAATCATTACTATTTTTAAATGATAATTCTTTACCTCACCTACTGTAAGGTCAAATAAAAGACTTTATAGTCAGATCAGAAACTAAAATAACTTACTGTTAGATGACGTTTTCGGCTTTCCAAGATACATTTTTCCATTAAACACTTATAATATATCACCTAAGTTATGTTAATAACAAAAAGTCAACACCGGTTATGAATCATTTTGCGTTCACAAATAAACGTCTCGTATCGGTTGAAGGCAGTGGCGCACTGATACTATTCATTCTATCGACTGAAGCCGGCATGAGGAGTCATTGCTCCCATTCTCTTTACATGTTATTACGGTAGATTTGTTTGGGGCAAGGAAACCCTCGAATAATTCCTAGTAAAGGGTATCAGTCACACCATAGAATGATATCATCAACTTTCTATTGATTTAAGGGCAACGAGAACTAGAATTAAAAACTCTCGATTATTTTATATGGTGTTATTTACACAAAATGACTCTCTTCCATCTTAAAATCTGTCTTAAAACATATTCTTGATAATTAATGGTCTATATTGACGATTATACAATTACGATAACAACATTTAAGTTTTAATATGTAATTCCATTATCAATTTATTTTACATTGCCATTGTTGTGGTCCATTTTTACCATATGAGAACTTTATATGATTCATTTTGTGGTAGGTAGCCATGATTTTCCTCCCTATTTCATCCCTAGGGAAGACCTGAGCCTCTGTAATGGGGACACTAACAGACCGGTGATGATGATATTAATTGATAAATAAATTTTCAAAAATCATCGTCATATCAGCCTTCACTTTATGGACTATCTATCTACTATCAAACTATTATAGACTATACAAAATCTTTCCATATAAATACCTATACTCTATTATGTAGTGAGAACTGCTCTGTAAATTATTACTTCCAGATACGCAAAAAAAAATATTTTTTTTAAGATATAATTATAACTACTATAAACAATCTTAAGAGATTTATAATAGTTTGATTCCTTACAAATCAAATCGTTTGCTTCGATTGTGGTTGTTTTTTAAAAATTCGACTTTTAATCATACGATTAAGTAGATACCTAAATTACTAACAAAACTACAGATTAGTATGCAAGGTGAAATTCCATAAATGTGGATAAAATTAAGCCAAACACAATAACCACTTTGAGGGCCACTTTTCCCTTTTTTCCATTATAAGTTAAATGGCTTTTGTACACGTCAAGGTTACGTGAAAATGAAACAAGATTGATTGATAAATAGCTCTTATTACAAGTGGTGTATTGTTACCTCTATGGTTAATGTGACTAATGATTTGTAAGGAAGTTTTTCTTTTTTCTTTTATTGACACCTACGTCTAACGCGAAGGGCCAAATTCGCCCATAAGGTAATGAAGACTAATGCGTTTGATTTTACCGCTAGAAGCGCTTGTAGCGTGAGGTCTTCAAAATGTCAAATATCATACTTTGTCGGTGAACTACGCGCGTTTCTTTTCAGTTAAGCGAATATCGGATTAAAGGTACCAAAGATTTAATAAAGCAATTATGAATACGGGTCAATATCATCAAAAACGGGAGCTAAGAAAAAGGTGCTAAATTTAAGTGAGATGAAACAACGGCGGTTAGTGTTTATTAGGTATATTCGATGTTTTTGATAAAATTGTTTATTAATGTATTAGAATGTATGATTTAAGTTCAATCTCGTAGTAAACAAACTTTGACAGGACCTCTCAAGATTGTCGCACCATCTGGTGAACTAAAATACGGTAACCGCCATTCCTGGAATTCCGGACGCGAAAATCCGTCGTATGTCGAATGAGAAAAGCAAAAAGAAAACTTTTTTACTTAATTTTACTATGGAATTGTTAAGGCTTTGGATTGATATTTTTATGGGGGAAATAATTAATAACCGGAAACAAGCATTAAGTAAGGTGCAATAACGTATTTACTAGACTCTTTCTGTCGTGTGAAATATCAGGCAGCTGGGAACGTAACTGTCTTGTTTCATCCGTGATATCATGTGCAAAGTAATAAGGTCATCATCACATCTTGGAGGTCACCACCGCACCAGAAACAGCACCAAAACATTATTTTTACCAGGCGTTTTTTATTCCAAGTAATTCTTTTGATCACTTACACATATGATCTGATAAGTACATAACGATTTACATATGTCGATGTATTAGACACGCATTTTTTATATTTAATAATGTACTTATGGGGTGAGAGGGTGCCCGTGGCATTAAATAGTTTTAATCCGGAACTGGCATCAGTATCTGCTTATATGTCTATTTTTCAAGCTTGTTTCTACATTCAAGCTGATTATTAATAAATTAAAGAATAATGACATATATTAACAAACATAATTCTCGGACACTAACTATATGTCGCTTCAGTTAAATCTATACAAATAAATAAAATTGAAGTGTTTTTGTAATATTAAAATAAACGCTTTTCACTAAATCCATATTTATGTAGGTATATACGGTCCATAACAAAAATATCATTTTTTTCATTTTTTGTCCGTCTGTGTTTGTTCCGGCTTATCTCTAAAACGGCTGAATCGATTTTGGCATGAGTTTCACTGGTAGATAGCTTATGCAATACTTTGGCTACTTTCCACGCGGGCAAATTCGCGGGCACAGCTACTAATAAAATATCATAAAGAAGTAAAGTTTCTAACTTTGTTTGTATGTAAGGGGAAATCTTCTAAAATAATAATCCGATTATGAAACTTCTTTTATCTACGGGTAGCTACATCATATGCAGCTATAATTTACGCGGACGAAGTTGCGAGAAAATAATTAGTTATTAATGGAAAATAAAAGTTTATTGAATTTCGGAAATTATTAAAAGTTTGGACAAAATAAAACACACTGGAAAAGCTAAAATATTACTTTCAAACATCAGAAAGAAAAATAAAATGTATATTATGATAGAAAATACGATTAAACACTAGATAAAAACATCATAAACACGTTATATCTAAGTAGTTTTATTGTTATATTTTCAATACATATTGAACTTCTCCTGAAAAAAATTGACGAGCTTATAGAGACTTCGAAACATATAAATTAGTAACTATTTCCATGCACACTACTAGACGTACCGCCTAATCTGTCTGTTTCATATTTTATTTTACTATTATGCGGGTAACAGCGGTGGCCCGCATGCGGGTGAGATACACGCAAAGGCACTTAGAAAAAGGATTCCAGCAAATATCACACTATCTCTCCATTTTTTTGCTGTTGCTGAAATTGTGATGCTAAATTAGAAATCTCGAGTTCCTCAAAATCTTAATTCAAGGTGACGTGTGGTTGTCTTTTCTACTAAACTCATGATGTACTGGTACTTCTTTTTTCCTTTGCTACTATTATAATAACGTTTTATGATTGTTTTTCAATTTGAATTACAGTGTTTTTTATACACAATAGAACAATATACTTACCTTAATATGTTAATTCCAATTACGCTACACTTTACTAATTTAAATGACACAATAGTTAAGGCGTTATCACGATTGCGTGTCTGACTGTACCCCCTAGATGGCAGTAATGTGCACGACAACTAACTATATTATGGTCCTAATCCTAGGGCAGACGAAGAAACGAACATTGACACAGAATAAGTGAACGATAACGAATCGTTAGATGACCTTTTTTCACTATGTTTTAACTGTATTCTATGCGTTGAATAGAAAAAATGTATTATCTATGGCTGGAATCAAATAGGGATGGGGATCGGAGAAGGGGTCATGACCATAAATGGGATTGGTGGGTGCTATCGACTGCAGATGCGGTTCATGCTATAATGGTATTATCTTTAATAACTATAAACCCAGATCCAAAAGGATAAGAAATAAAAGTTAGAAAAGGATATTGTTTAAAATTAATACCTTTATAAGCGTTGAAGAAAAAAGGACCTAAGTACTAGTACTAAAAAGTATTCTCTATAAAAGTATTTTTCTGTAACTTGCATATCGTTATAGAATCGTGTACATAAGAAAATTTATCCTTTTTTTCTCATTTTGTATTACCCATATTCCTAACTTAACGCATTTCATAACTTTAGATATTACTTAATGTCATTAGATTATTCCTAGTCATTGATGAAATGCATTTTCACCTTAGGTAATTCCTAAATATTTAGGTCATTCCTAAATTTTGTAAAATGGCCTAGCCGCACGCGTTCGGATTTCGTTTTCCGTATTCGTTTTTCTGATCAGGAATTCCTATTCGGAGACGAAAACGCGCTCCTTACTAAAAATTAAAAAATATTTTAAGAAATTTATATTACATTCGGGAAAGGGTTTTGTGTAAAGAATTGAAATTAACTACCATACCAATAAAAGCTTTTTTAATTATTGTACTTATTTAGTAAGTATGCTTGAAGTCTGTTTTATTTAATAAAAAAATTACAGCCGGCTTCTGAATTGAAAAAAGTACCAAATCCTCAACAATTTTTTCTCAATAACTTACGATTTTTACCTTTCACAAGGCCTATCATCAACTAATCATTATAAAACTGATATCAGAAACGAAAACCTGTTTAAGTGACGTTTTAGTACATTTTTAAGACGTGCTTAACTTTAAATACTCAATTCAGAAACAAGGCGTATGTAGGTATGTTTACAAAACAGCGAAAAGTGTATGTCGTGTGTAAACATGGATCAGAGTTTCTTGCCGGTTCTTCTCACTACAAGATCTCCCGCCGTAGTTTTGCGAACCGATGGCGTAGTTTTCGACTTTCACAAGTGCTCTGTAAAAGCCTAAACTGAGTAACCAATTTTTATTTGATCATAGAAATTTTTCGTTTAATTATTTATTCATCAATTGGAATTATATGATATTAACCCATCTGTTATATCATGTCATGCTACAATAGTGTAAATAATGGTTTAAAGAGTTTACTTTAAAGTTATGTTGTTGAAGAAAATTTACTGATGATTCGCGAGAAAGACGTTATTCTACAGCGACTACTATAAATAACATAAGTGCTGCGAGGCTAATGATACAAGCTGAAAGAAGTCGATACTAATATTAGAAAGAGGAAATATTTGATTGTTTGTTTGTTTGCATCGAATAGACTCCAACACTACTGGACTGATTTTAAAAATTCTAAACAAATAATTCAAATGCGGTGGACATAGACTATATTTTATCCCGTAAAATAGCAAATAAAGGAATGAAAATGGGAGTGGAAATTTGTACGGATTATAACGTCACCGTTACGTTATAATTTGGAATTATAACGTTAAATGAA